CCCCCACTGCGGAGGCCTGGGGCCAGCCCCCCCGCTCCTCCCCACAGAGGCCTGTCCCCCACCTCCCCATGGTGGGGTTGTGTAGAGCCCCAGAATTGCTATGGACGGCCCTGCATGCACCCAATCACAGGAGACTGCATGTTGCCTTCCTCACAGCTTGAATGAACTTTATATAGGGGTTACCCTCAGAAGAATCTATTTCAAAGGTTCACTAAACTATAAAAGAGGAACAACCCACAAGTTATCTATCTTTCACCAAAGACGACGACAGGCAGCTTACGTCAACCTAACTCTAAGCATCAACACTAAAATGTAGCTCCCAACAATGTAACTTGCCCAACTTAATAACTCCACCTCTGCAAGAAGTATAGCGCTTAAGTCAATGTAGTTATATCGATGCAGTATCAGCGTAGACACTGCGTTGCTTACATTGACTGTTGCTGCCTTTCAGAAATCATCCCACAATGCCCCACACTGGCAGTTAAATCAGCGCAAGCGCTCCTGGTGAGGACGCGCACCGCTCACACAAGGAACACAGTGTGGATGTCAAGTATCAGAGGGTAGCCGTGTTAGTCTGTATCTACAAAAACAACAAGGAGTCTGGTGGCACCTTAAAGACTAACAGATTTATTTGGGCATAAGCTTTCGTGGGTAAAAACCTCACTTCTTCGGATGCATAGAGTGAAAGTGTGGATGTGTAAAACTGATTCAATTCCTGTTGTGGCTATACATCAACATAACTTCGGTCAACTTAATTTTGTAGTGTGGACTTGCCCAAAGATACCAGCCCTTTGACTTTTGGGGATAGATTCTGATGGGTTTGGTCAGCCATCTTGATGGAAATGTGGTGAGGATTTTACCTTGAACCAAGCTAGTTAGATTTTAGTTACTAGAAAGTGTTTTATCTTTATTTCTTGTGTAACTATTTCTGACTTTAGTTCTTATACTTGCATTCTTATACTTGTTTTATTATTTTTAATCTAAATCAACCCATTGCTGTTGAACTGAACTGTTTGGTAACTACTTAAAGTAACAAACTATTGGATACTGACTCTTCAAAAGAGCAACAAACCTGACCATTCCTTCGATTATTCCAGGTCAGGATTGACATTTCAGAACACATATTTCTGGAGAAATTTGGGGCTAGAGAGAGTGTGGCATCACCTTACCAGGTGTTAACCAATACTGGTGGAAGTATGGTATTGTAGGCAGACTCCTGGATTCAAAGCATTGGACCAGGACTGCGCAACACGCAGACACAGGGAGCATGCTTGTTGCTGACTGTGGGTATCCCAGCCAGAAAGCTACAGTGGCAAACCTTTAAGGCACTTAAGGTTTTAGAATAAGAGGTGACAACTCTTCATTGGTCTGGACTGCATACTATAACGTAACAAGCCCCGGCATAGGCTGGGGAAGCTGCGGCAGCCCCCATGGGGAGGGGGAGCTGGGGAACAAGGGCAGCCCCCATGAGCAGGACCCTACCAAAATCAGTCCATTTTCATCAATTTCATGGTCATAGGCTTTTAAAAATCGTAAATGTCATGATTTCAGCTATTTAAATCTGAATTTCACAGTGTTGTAATTGTAAGGATCCTGATCCAAAAAGGAGTTGTGTGTGTGTGTGTGGGGGGGGGGGGGGCATAAGATTATTGTAGGGGGGTTGCAGTACTGCTACCCTTACTTCTGCACTGCTGCTGGCGGCGGCGCTGCCTTCAGAGCTGGGCAGTTTGAGAGCGGTGGCCACTGGTTGGGAGCCCAGCTGTGAAGGCAGCGCCGCCGCCAGCAGCAGCAAAGAAATAAGGATGGCATGGCATGGTATTGCCACCCTTACTTCTGTGCTGCTGCTGGCAGGGTGCTGCCTTCAGAGCTGGTCACCCAGCCAACAGCTACCGCTCTCTGGTTGCCCAGCTCTGAAGGCAGCGCAGAAGTAAGAGTGGCAATACTGTGACCCCCCCTTGCAACTCCCTTTTGGGTCAGGGCCTGCAATTTGAGAACCGCTGGTCTACCCCATTAAATCTGTATAGTGTAGGGTAAAAGGACACAAAAGATCAGATTTCGTGGTCTGTGATGCACTTCTCATGGCCATTAAATTGGTAGGCCCCACCCATAAGGAAGGGAAGGGGAGCTGAGGCAGGCAGGAGATGGGTGTCAGCAGGGGCAGCTCTATGTATTTTGCCACCCCAAGCACGGCAGTCAGGCAGCCTTCGGCGGCATGCCTGCGGGAGGTCCACTGGTAATGCGGATTCGGCGGCATGCCTGCAGGAGGTCCATTGGTCCTGCGCCTTCGGCATACCCACCGCTGAATTGCTGCCGAAACTGCGGGACCAGCTAGGGTGACCAGATGTCCCGATTTTATCGGGACTGTCCCGATATTTGCTTGTTTGTCCCGCATCCCGACCAATGTTAGGTCGGGACACTGGACAAACAAGCAAAGGCTCCGGAGCCCAGAAGGGCTCGTGCCCCCCCGCCCCGCTCCGACTCCGTCCCCTCCTTCCCCCATTGGCTCCCTCCCCAAATCCCCGCCTCTTCCCCAAGCACGCCATTCCTTCTCCCTCCACAAGCTCTGGAGAGAGGCCCCGGAGACGCAGGGGGAGCGCGGGGCCGGGGTGAGTGAGAGTCCGGCTTGGCCCCGAGCGCAGGCAGGACTCAGTCGGGCGGTACCTGGAGGGAGAGTAGGGGGGCAGCCCACAGGGCCAGGCGGCGGCTGTTCTCCCCACCTGGGCAGCGGGACTCGAGAGCAGCCGCTGCTGCAGCTCCTACTGCCGCGGCCAGAGGAAGCGGCCATGGCGCTCGGCGGCTGCGGCTCTGGTGCCCGGGCCTGTTGTGGGGACCCAGCAGCGCGCACGCCCAGCCCCTGGCCAGTCGCGTCTGGGCTGGCAGCCCAGCTGGTGCAATCCCGCGGGCGGCCCCGGGGCGGAGGCATCGGCAGCCCAGCCCCGTTCGTTCCCCTGCGGGACCCGAGCGGGACAGGGGGGCTGGGGCCTGCTGCCCCCACTCCAGGGCCGCCCGCGGGATTGCACCAGCTGGGCAGCCAGCCCAGATGCGACTGGGCGTGCGCAGCGTGCGCGCTGCTGGGTCCCCGCAACAGGCAGGCCCGGGCGCCGCCGAGCGCCATGGCCGCTTCCTCCGGCCGCGGCAGTAGGAGCTGCAGCAGCGGCTGCTCTCAAGTCCTGCTGCCCAGGTGGGAAGAACAGCCGCCGCCTGGCCCCGCGGGCCGCCCCCCTACCCTCCCTCCCGGTACCGCCTGACTAAGTCCTGCCTGCACTCGGGGCCAGGCCGGACTCTCACTCACCCCGGTCCCGGGCTCCCCCTGCGTCTCCGGGGCCTCCCTCCAGCGCTTGCGGAAGGAGGAGGAAGGGGGGGGTTGTTTTTTTGCTCTGCCTTCGTTTTTTTTTTCCCTCCGCCCTCCCCCTCGCGTCCCAATATTTAACCTGGGTGATCTGGTCACCCTAGGACCAGCGGACCTCCTGCAGACAAGCTGCCGAAGGCAGCCTGACTGGAGCCCTCACAGCAACAGGCAGGCCGCCCCCACGGCTTGCCACCCCAGGCATGCGCTTGGTGCGCTGGTGCCTGGAGCCGCCCCTGGGGAGGGGAGAAAGAGCAGAGGCAGGCAATGGGGTGGGGGGCAGCCCGGAGAACAACAGCTGTCCCAGGAACAAGGGAGGGGCACTAAAGAAAAGAGGTTGAACTGCTTCCGCCCTCGGCAGGTAATGACACAAGCACGCGCCTCTCGCGCAAGAGACGCGGTTGATGACGCACAAGAGACCACACCCCCGCGGTAAGTGACGCAGTTATAATTCCCGCAGTCAGGTGCAGTAACAACAGCGTTCGCGCCAAGCTCCTCCCCCTCCCGAACTGGGCGGTGTCACCGCCCCCGCTCCCCCCGCCGTGGGGACTCTCCCCCCCGCAAGCGCCCCCTCCCTGGCGCCTGTCCCCGTTCCCCCTCACGCCACAGGTGGTGTGGCGCCCCGCTCCCCGCGCCGGGCCCGCCACTCACTGTCCAGATAGTGCTCCAGGTACATGGCTGTCGCCATCTTGTGCCCCGCTCCCTGCCGCGCTGTTCCCTCGTCGCTCGGGCCCGCATGACAAGGGCCGCAGCCCCGGCCTCATTCCATATTCAGGAGCTGCCGCCGCTGATTGGGCGCCCGGGACCCCGCCAGCTGTATATCAATAAGGAGGCGGGGCAACGGCACAGGCGCCAAAGGGGGAAGGGGCAGGTGTCACCCAAGGATTGGGAGGTGGTCCCTGCATGCGCGCGCCACCCGCCTTCCTCCATGCAGACACACCTTCCCTTCAGCCTGTTCTCCGACCCAGCCTGGAGCAGTGACAGCCTGTAGCCCGCCCCGCCGTGGCAGTGACAGCCTCCCCTCTCCCTAGCCCCGGGCAATAACAACGTGTAACTAGCCCCCAGCCCGGAGCAGTGACCGCCTGTAACCCCACCACCACGTCCGCAGCAGTGACAACTTCTCCTCTCCCCACCCCGGGGGCAGTGACAACCTCTCTCTCTCACACACATACACCCAACCTGCGGCAGTGACCGCCTGTAACCCCCTCTCCCCCCGGACCAGTGACAGCCTCTCGTCCCCACCCACCCCGTGGCAGTGACAGCCTCCTCTCTTCCCAGCCCGGGACAACGACAACCTGTAACTCGCCCCCTGCCTGGGGCAGTGACCGCCTGTAATCAACCCCCCCCCCCCCCCCCCGACAGCCAGTAACTCTTCCCCCACCCCCGTCTAGGGCAAGGGTAGCTGTCACCCCCACAGCCGAGCCCGGGGCCGCAGCAGTGTCTCCCCCACAGCCCCTCGTCTAAGGATAGGGGGCCCCGGCGCCAGTGGGGCGCCCCCTGTGTAGCTGCCGATAGGCAGGTGCTCTAGGCAAATCCTGGGCCCCGTCCGTGTGCTCTTGCCCCCCGGCGGGGCTAGGCAGATGGGGTGGGGCTCCGCCTTGGAGGCCTGGGGCAGCCCCTTCTGTCCAAACTGTCCCCGCGTGGCTCTCTATGGTTCTCCGGAAGCAGACACTCCTCCTTCCCGCGCCTGTCTCTCCAAGAGTGGTAACGGTTGTGGCGCGTGCCGCCCTGGCCATGGCGTGCAGACGCGGGGCGCTGGTGGTGCTGGAGGGTGTGGACCGGACCGGGAAGACCACGCAGAGCCGGAGGCTGGTGGAAGCGCTGCAGGCATCTGGGCACCTCGCCGAGCTCCTGCGATTCCCGGGTACGGGGGGAGTCTGGCCCTTCCCACCTTTCCTGTGCGCCCCCCCGCGCCCTGCTGTCCCCAACCCCCGTGATATGGACATGGGAGGGTAGGTGGGGAGCACCACCAACCCCCGTGATATGGGGGGGTACTACAGGTGGGTGGGCACCGCCAAACCAAGTGACATGAAGGAAGTGGGGGGCAATGCTAACCCCTGTAATTGCGGGAATGCTGCCAACCCCCATAACATGGAGGGAAGGGTGGGGCACCGTTACCGCCATGATATGGGGGTCACTGCCAACCCCAGTGACATGGAGGGGACAGGGGACATTGCTAACCCCTGTGGCATGGAGGGGGGAGACACCACTAACCTCACTGACGGGGTTGGGGAAGTTGGGGGAGGCATTAGCACCGTTAACTCCACTGATGCAGGGTGGGGCAGCCCCATTTAGCCCTCAGTGGGGGGCCCTGAGGGGTGCACACCAAGGGCTGGTGATTGCTGTGGCTTTCCAGTAAGCAGTGTCCCCCAAAGTTTGAAAGCTAGGTATCCCTTCAGGAAAATAAAACCAATGGTGCTGTGTCTTGCCCTCCTTTTCGTGCCTGCCATGTACAGTTAGAGGTCTAATCATAAAGGTATATGTCTTCATAGCCAGTGTTTGTTTTGCCCTGGGGCATGCCCCCCCCTCCACTTGGGGAGAGGCCTCTGAAAACATTGGGGAATGTAACACTGATACCTGTAGCTGCATTCTCAGCTGTGGTGTCGCATGGTCCCTTGGCTGTCACAGTGAACCCTTTGTGGTGGGAATGTATTGCCACACTAGAAAGGCCAGGACACACAGCTTTTCTGTCACATTTCCCTACATTTAGTGCATTTACTCCTTTTATTTTTACTCTGCCGTTGAGGTTCTGCTTCCCATATTATGGCACCTCCTGGTTTTTGGTTTGTTTACATTGCAACTTGAAAATTCTCTTTGAGTAGCAATTTTTAAAAATGGAACAGTTGGATTTTCAGAACATGTATGTCCAAGCATGACTGGTTTTAGTTTTGGGTTTAAAATATTTGTTCCAGGGAATTTGTACATGGCGTAAATCTTAAGTCATATTGCACAGTAACTGAAGCAAGAGACTGCATAACTCACCAGACTTGTTCTTGTACTCTTTCTAACAGACAGAACAACAGAAATTGGGCAGCTAATTAGCTCCTACTTGGAGAACAAGAGCAATTTGGAAGACCACACAGTGCATCTGCTTTTCTCTGCTAACCGCTGGGAACAAGTGTAAATATAATTATTTTTTGAGTTTTAAAGTAATGTGCACAGCTTTGAATCCTAAGTATTACCTGCCCACTTTAGGGCACCCACCTTAACCCAGTTCCTAGAGCTCAAGGCATAACCCGGTTGATTTAGGCAGGCCCATTCCCAGTTTGATCCTGCTTCTGAAAACAATATTTTACTCATGACTCCTGATTTCCTATACAGGTCAGGATTGGTCTTGTGATAAATGCTTTCATTGTCTCTCCTGTATATGATATTAGTTGTGTTGAATTTTCGGTTTCCAAAGCATCCCTGGGAAGCCACTGCTCTCCAAGCACACATACTGATGCACCTGTGTCAATTAACATTGTGGGGAATGTTTGTTTCCCAGATCTCCCCTTTGTTGCCCCTACAATGGGACACCCCCATTTGTCATACTGTAGTTGGGCCACTACCTCAGGGGAAGTCCCAGGAGGCGGGCACCACTGTTGGAGTGGCACCAACGATAGAGTCCGTTATGGGAGTTACAGGAGCCCTGTCAGTCAATTCCTCTTGCCTTTCTAACTGGACAACCCTCTGCAATAACTCACTTGTGGGCTTCCCCTCCCATGTCTGTTTTGGTTCTCCTGCCATTATGAGCTTCCTTCATGCCTTCGTTCCCTGTGTGCATCTTCTTTCTCTATTCTGCAACTGATACCCATATCCATGTCTTCCTCTTGCTCCTCTGCTGTCCCTTGCACCTCCATGTTCTCTTCCTCCAACATGCCATGGTGCATCGTGCCCCTTTCCCCTGGTTCCCCTTGGAAATCTGGGGGCCCGTTGGCAAAAGTTACCGCCTGGACGGGTTCCATTCTCCTGTCAGTTCCTTCTTCTGTCCCAGCGTGTCTTGAAAAACTATAGCTGCTTGAAAAATGTCCTGTTTTAACTCGGGGTACCCACTAGCCGGATCTGTGGATCCTAAATTCACCTTCATTTTTGAATTCAAACCGTCTAACTATGCAGTCTTAAAAGCTAAAGCATTGAAATCCAGTTGGGTTCCAGTTACTATTGGCACAATCCTGGCAGCTATGGCCAGTATCTCCTTTTTAATGGCATACAATTCTGGGGACTCACAGGGGCCCTGTACTTTTACATGGAACAATTTCCAGTGTTCTCAGACCAACATTACTTCCTTCCTTCACCCAGTCCCATCTGGTAGCAAGAACACCGTTTGCACCTAACCGCTCCTCAGCAGTCTGTATTACTGCGCAGTCAGAAGCACTAGTACAGGCCTGGGCTAAGACCTCATAATCTGCTGGCCTCCATCCAGATTGTGCCAACAGCTTCACCATCCAGTCCAGACACATGTTCCTTTCTAGGGGTCCCAATAACTGCGCAGCTGCCCATACCTGGTCACTGTTTATCTGGGCCCAAGCCTTATTTTCTTATAACACTGTTCTGACAGCTGCCTGAGCATCCCCTAGTTTCATTTACAATGTAGATACTTTTCCAATCAGGTTTTCTACTTTCAGTTTTAAATGTTCACACTCTCCTGTTTTTGCCTATAAGGCTGTTGCATTCTGTAATGCTGAAGCTTCACTGGCGCACTGCGGTGACTTATACTGAGCCAAATTATCCTTAACTATATCCAACTCTAATTTGTAATCCTTCAGTTGTCTTTCCTGGAGTGCTACCAGGCTGAAAGATTAGTGACAGCTTTCCATAAAGCCCATGCTGCTGCTGCTTTGCTAGCATTTTTTCTTTGTTTTTTGCTTTATGCGTTTACAGAATGCTTTAAACTAGGGCTGTCAAGTGATTAAATGCGCAATTAAACAAGAATAGAATGCTATTTATTTAAATATTTTGGTTGTTTTCTACATTTGCAGATAGATTGATTTCAATTACAACACAGAATACAAAGTATACAGTGATCTCTTTATATTTATTTTTGACTACAAGTATTTGCACCGTAAAAAAACAAAATATATAGTATTTTTCAATTCACCTAATACAAGTACTGTAGTGCAATCTCTTTATCATGAAAGTTGAATCTACAAATGTAGAATTATGTATAAAAAAACCTGCATTCAAAAATAAAACAACGTAAAACTTTAGAGTCTACAAGTCTACTCAGTCCTACTTCTTGTTCAGCCAATTGCTCAGACAAACAAGTCTGTTTACATTTGCAGAAGATAATGCTGCCTGCTTCTTGTTTACAATGTCACCTGAAAGTGAGAACAGGCGTTTGAATGGCACTGTTGTAGCTGGAGTCACAAGATATTTACATGCCAGATGCACTAAAGATTCATTTGTCCTTTGATGCTTCAACTACCATTCCAGAGGACATGCTGATGACAGGTTCTTCTCGATAACGATCCAAAGAAGTGCGGACTGATGCATGTTCATTTACATCATCTGAGTCAGATGCCACTAGCAGAAGGTTGATTTTCTTTTTTGGTGGGTTCTGTAGTTTCCACATCAGAGTGTTGCTCTTTTAAGACTTCTGAGAGCATGCTCCACACCTTATCCCTCTCAGATTTTTGGAAGGCACTTCAGATTCTTTAATCTTGGGTCCAGTGCTGTAGCTATCTTTAGAAATTTCAAATTCGTATCTTCTTTTGCATTTTATCAAATTTGCAGTGAAAGTGTTTTTAAAACTAACAAAATGTGCTGGGTCATCATCCGAGACTGCTATAACATGAAATATATGGCGGAATGTGGGTAAAACAGAGCAGGAAACATACAATTCTTCCCCAAGGAGTTCAGTCACAAATTTAATTAACACATTGTTTTAACGGGCGTCATCAGCATGGAAGCATGTCCCCTGGAATGATGGCCAAAGCATGAAGAGGCATATGTATCTTTAGCACATCTGGCACATAAATATCTTGCAGTGCCAGCTACAACAGTGCCATGCGACAGCCTGTTCTCACTTTCAGGTGACATTGTAATTAAGAAGTGGGTACCATTATCTCCCATAAATGTAAACAAACTTGTTTGTCTTAGCAATTGGCTGCCCAAAAGTATGACTGAGTGGACTAATAGGCTCTAAAGTTTTACATTGTTTTGTTTTTGAGTGCAGTTATATAACAAAAAAGCCCTACATTTGTAAGTTGCACTTTCATGATAAAAAGATTTCACTACAGTACTTGTATGAGGTGAATTGAAAAATATTATTTTTGTTTTTTACAGTGCAAATATTTATAATAAAAAATATAAAGTGAGGACATTTGTATTCTGTGTTGTAATTGAAATAGATATATTTGAAAATGTAAAAAAAATCAAAAAATATTTAATACATTTCAATTGGTATTCTATTGTTTAACAGTGCAATTCATCGCGATTTATTTTTTTTAGTTAATCATGTGAGTTAACTGTGATTAATCAACAGCCCTACTTTAAACTCCTTACAAGCAGACTCAAGGACATCCCTCCCCTGGAAAGAATCTTATCCCCATGGGCATGGACCTTGTTCTGCTACCCATTTAGCAAGGAAGGTGGGCTCTTCAGCTAACCCTCACCCCTCCTGCTCCTTTTCTTTGTTCCCTCCTGAAGCTTCAGAATGGTCATTCTGTCAAGTAGGTAGTGGCCCTTATTGACAAAATGCACAGGTATTCTGCTGCTATTACTTTTCTACAATGATTCACTGTGTGAAGCTCTATCAGTTCAGTCCAAATGACCATAGGCTGCCCACATTCTCCACCACATTTGTTACCTGCACACTCTAGGACACCCACCTTTACCCAGTTCCTAGGGCTCAAGGCATAATCCGATTGATTTAGGCACCTCCACCCTTTCCCAGTTCCTAGAGCTCCAGGCAAAAGGCACCTACCTTTAGCCAGTTCCTAGGGCTCAGGGCCACCCATACCCAATTCCTAGGGCTTAGGGCATACTCTTCTGTGGATTTGCGTGGTCTTTTACCAGTGAAAGAGCCTTACATAGTAATATCCGTAACCTCTATTTATTAACAACCACCAAAACAGAATGCACATGCTACGAATACAATGCTTACCACTCCCAAGAAGGAAGATGAAATTTTCCTGAGGGCCAGTCAGGATCAGGTCATCCAGGGACTCCAGCTTCTGCATGGTGTGATTGGCAGGCTGTTGAGATCTGGCAGCTATGATCTTGGGACTGTGTCCTGGAGTTGGTTCCAAAGAACTTCCTTTTGGACCCCAGTTTATATAGTGAAACTTGAGTCCTGCTTAGCTGTGCCTTAACCAATCATTTTAAACTAAAGTACTATAAAACCATATCTTTCACCAATCCTAGCCCATTATGAAAAAAATCTTTAATCAATCACACCCCACCACCATAGTTGATTTACATCTAGCAAAATTAGTTATGTAACAGACAGAAACCATACAGATAAACAATAGAGAAGTAGGGATCATAAAGGCAAAACAATAAAGAAGTAGAGATTTCACACCCAAACTGTTGATAAGTGTTTCTTTGCCAGACAGAATGCTGTCAAGCAACATTTTCTTTAAACATCTTAAGAGATTCCTTGCTTATCTGGTATGATGGGTACTATTAGTAGGGGTGCCTTCTTAACAGCCCAATATTACATTGTTTTGATATAACTTAAAAGGAAGGTGAGGATGTGACTTTCTGCTTCTTGGCTCATAGCTACTGCTCTCCTTACATGGCTGCAGAAAAAGGCCTCAGACCTTACATGAGGTTTTAGGAGACTCCATCACACAGTGGATTAACCTGTTACCTTGGTAATCTCTTGAAATCTTAATTAAAAGCTCGACTATAAGTGAAAGTGAATTTGGTAGTCTCCTCTTCTTACCACTTCTGTGTGTATCACAAAGTCACCTCCCGATATGATCTGATTGGTATTCTTAAGAGCAGCCTGGAATAGAATTAAGAGTGCCTTAGGTTAGGATTGAGGTGTACTGAAGCATCTGCTAACATCATCTTGAATTAGGCTAGAACTAGAAATCCATCACTTTATGAGCACTAAATTAATTAATGCTAAAATTAAGATAAAGTCTTCATGCTTTTCCTAATGTTGTAGCTGAAGGCACAGAGACTGATGTGGAACGCCTTTCTCCAGCTCTGAATTTGCCATACCAACAAGACTGATTTAGATTTCTCACACAGTATTCTTAATCTTGGGTTCACATAATTTCTTGATTTGTAGTTTATGTATATAGCCCTCTAAACTATAGGGATAACTTGCCTGTGTTCTGAGCAGAGCATCTGTTCTGAATCCCTGATCTAGTCTGTTAATTTTTGGGGGGGGCAGATACCTGCCTATGGTGTGGGAATATTTCTTCAATGTTACCAGGTCTATTTTTGAATTTCCTCTGCCTGGTCTTAAGTAGAGGGAACAGCAACAATCACAGGGTGGATTGAGCTCAGAGGAGAGCACTGAGTGAGTAAATGTGACTCTATGGTAGCAACAGAGAACCACAGCTTCTCCCAGTGGAGCTTGGCATAAGTGGCGTAGTTGTAAGGCGCTAGGGCAGGGGTCGGCAACGTTTAGCACGCGGCTCTCCAGGGTAAGCACTCTGGCGGGCCGGGCCAGTTTTATTTACCTGCTGATGCGGCAGGTTCGGCCGATCGCGGCCCTCACTGGCCGCGGTTCGCCGTCCCTGGCCAATGGGGGCGGCGAGAAGCTGCAGCCAGCACATCGCTCGCCCGCGCTGCTTCTCGCCACCCCCATTGGCCCGGGACCGTGAACCGCGGCCAGTGGGGGCCGCGATCGGCCGAACCTGCCGCGTCAGCAGGTAAATAAAACTGGCCCGGCCCGCCAGGGTGCTTACCCTGTCGAGCCGCGTGCCGAATGTTGCTGACCCCTGCGCTAGGGCATGGATTCTGTGTTTTTCATACAATTAAAAATGGCATTTACCTTCTAAATCGTATTATGCTACTGTCCTGTATGATGATAAAATTCAAAATACATGGTTAACAACATTCAACATGATTCTGACCAGTTCCTAGGACCTCTGATTGAGTCATACTCCCTAAACTTTAATCAAGGGAAATTGTGATGAAACTTCTAAGTGATTTAAGAGGGGTGGGAGTGGCCCAGGCTTTCTACTTCAATATCCATATATACGAAGAAAATGTAAGAACTGCTCATTTGTGAGCAGTTCACTGCTCACCCACCTAACAAATGCTATTGCAAGCTTATGGCTTGATGCTGAGCCTCTCTCATTAGAACTTCAGTGAGAGTAGCAGGTGCTTAACACCTCTCTGGAACAAACTCCCCCAGGCTAAAACTTCCAAACTTTGGTGCCTACATTTGCACTGAAATAAGGCCCCAAGGCTGCAATGAGCTCTACGCAGGCAGACACTGGCACTTGTGTGGAGGCCCGTTGATTGCAGTGTGTCTCTGGGCATGCATTGGGTCCACCAGTGGAGAGCTTGTTACAGGATCTGACATGATTTTCTATGTGCTGAATGTGACGTTGCACCCCATAATGCTTTATAGAAATATGCTTATGAGTGTAAATATGACATAAGTGGAATGTTTTATGCTAGATATGCCATGTAACATATCTTTGCAAAGGTTATGTTCTACTGAGTGTATTCATCCTATTCGTATGCATGTATCATTTTTATATCTGAAGTTATGAGTGTTGGCTCTGTGCTTGTATTTAAAGTTTGCTGTAGGAAGCACCTAAGGCAGATTTGGTCAATATAGTGTGAAGGGGTTATTCAAGTAATTGGGAGCACTTAGCTAACAGTGGACCTTGATAGATGCCAATCCACATCTGAGCTTTCCTGGGAACATTCGGGCTAACATGGGCAATGGCGTCGGCCTGTAGAGAACTGAGTCATGCATGGACATATGACTTGCCCATGTGACTCCAAAACTCCATCTTGTAGCTGTGATTCTAAAGTGGGGAGAGAGGGGTTTCCACCCACAAGAGACTATATAAGCCCTTGGAAACCCCTCTATTTTGTCTTCAGCTGGCTCAAGAGAGAGCCTCTCCACCCCAAAGGATACCTGAAAGAAACTGGAACAAAAGACAATAATTACAGGGGTGTGAGCAATTGGTGGACCCAGACTAGGAGGAAGTTTAGTCTGTAAAAGAAGCTTATTGGAACATCTCTGAGGGTGAGATTTACCTGCATTTAGTTTCCTACTGTATTAGGCTTAGACTTGTGTGTTTTGTTTTATTTTGTTTGGTAATTTACTTTGTTCTGTCTGTTATTACTTGGAACCACTTAAATCCTACTTTTTATATTTAATAAAACCACTTTTTACTTATTAATTAACCCAGAGTAAGTGATTAATACCTGGGGGAGCAAACAGCTGTGCATATCTCTCTATCAGTATTATAGAGGGCGAACAGTTTATGAGTTTACCCTGTATAAGCTTTATACAGAGTAAAACAGATTTATTTGGGGCTTGGACCCCATTGGGAGCTGGGTATCTGGGTGCTGGAGACAGGAGCACTTCTTAAGCTGTTTTCAGTTAAGCCTGCAGCTTCTGGGGGATGTGGTTCAGACCTGGGTCTGTGTTTGTAGCAGGCTATTGTGTCTGGCACAACCAGGCAAGGTACTGAAGTCCTAAGCTGCCAGGGAAAACGGGCTTAGAGGTAGTCCCAGCACATCAGGTGGCAGTCCCAAGGTTTCTGTGACCCAACCTGTCACATTGAGGCCCCTTAACTCCCTTTGAAATTAATGTAGTGTGAGAACTCTCAAAATCAGCCCCCATATCTGCTTCCTGGCATCAGAGGGTGAAACATTCTTAGTCCCTGCTCTCACATGGATCAATTGCAAAATTGAGGCCTTAGAGTGTAGTCTCACTAAATCTCTTGCTGCTGAGATGCTCTTAAAGAACTGGTGTTCTTCCCTTCATTTTTCAAGTTAAGCTTCAGCTCTCTTGCTTTATGATGAAGTATGCACTACACTATTTATTACAGAGAGTGGGTACTGCCTTTAATATGATCTATTGACAGTTCGACCTGGATGCTACTACTTTTGTGCAATAAGTGGTAGAATGATGTAGGGTTTTAGTCAAACCAGACTTTTACAAGGATAATGGTTTAAATTTGTGAAAAGTAGTGCTGTTAGCTGGAAATCTGTAAAATAGAAAATAAGTTTCACTTTTTAAAAGCTGCATTTTTCCAAAGGCTTATCTGATCCTGCTGAGGCTGGTGGTAGCTCATTCATATCTAATGCCAAGCAGATAGAGAACATGCATGAATTCTCAGCATGGAAGACAGATGCTTGAGTCTTGACACATTATTGTCCATTTTGGGTGAAGTTCAAGTGATTTCTTGCCCAAGAGACACATAGTCCTTATTGTATCTGCTACACTAAATAAAAAAATTGAACTAAACCACTCGTTTGGTCCCAACTGTAGATACTTTCAGCTTGGCTGTGACTTTGTCCATAGGTCATTTAACTGGATGAACTAGTGCTCTGCATTACCATGCAGTAGACTTGAGATTAGTGGCTCTGGAATTTGCTTTTTATGCTGGGAGGTTATTTGCTCAGCCCCTAATAAAGGGCAGGATGAAAGTAGCACTATTTCAGGCAGCAGCAGCCATAGCAAGCATCCTTCTTGCAGCACTGTTTGTCTCTGAAAAGAGTCCCATCCAGTCCTCCTTGGCTGGAAGGATAGTGATGAACAAGGTTGGGGTTGATTTTCAGAGCGTTGAGAGACTGTGGGGGACAGAGCTTATAAACAAAAATCACAGCCTCGACTGACAAAGTACTGTAACCCCACAGTTGCTGGAGATCACTATAGCCAAGTGCATCAACTAATTGAAAAGAGCCCACCTGCTGTGTCCTCTGTGTTGAATTCTTATCATTTCTGCCTGGGTACAGTGGAGTATGATGTGTCTTTTCTTTCTGTTGTTCAGGCCGTTGATTAAAAAGAAGTTAAATCAAGGCATCACTTTAGTGGTGGACAGATACGCTTTTTCCGGGGTGGCCTTCACAAGTGCCAAAGAGGTGAGTGAATGAACAGAAAGGCAGTGTCTGCGTCTAATTGGGAGGGCACTGTACAAATGATAAACAAAAGAAATAGTATTTTTCAGTTCACCTCATACAAGTACTGTAGTGCAATCTCTAGCCTGAAAGTGTAACTTACAAACACAGATTTTTTTTTGTTACATATCTGCACTCAAAAACAAAACAATGTAAAACTTTAGAGCCTACAAGTCCACTCAGTCCTACTTCTTGTTCAGCCAGTTGGTAAGACAAACAAGTTTGTTTACATTTACAGGCGATACTGCTGCCTGCTTCTTATTTACATTGTCACCTGAAAGTGAGAACAGGCGTTCGCATGGCACTGTTGTGGCTGGTATTGCAAGGTATTTAAGTGCCAGATATGCTAAACATTCATATGCCCCATCATGGTTCAGCCACCATTTCATGTTGATGATGCTCATTTAAATTTGTGACTGAACTCCTTGGGGGAGAATTGTATGTCCCCTGCTCTGTTTTACCTGCATTCTGCCATATATTTCACGTTATAGCAGTCTCTGATGATGTCCCAGCACGTTTGATTTACGAACACTGTCACTGCAGATTTGACAAAATGCGAAGAAAGTACCAATGTGAGATTTCTAAAAATAGCTACAGCACTTGACCCAAGGTTTAAGAATCTGAAGTGCCGTCCAAAATCTGAGAGGGATGAGGTGTGGAGCATGCTTTCAGAAGTCTTAAGAGAGCAACACTCAGATGCGGAAACTACAGAACCCGAACCACCAAAAAAGAAAATCAACCTTCTGCTGGTGGCATCTGACTCAGATGATGAAAATGAACATGCATTGGTTCACTCTGCTTTGGATCGTTATCGAGCAGAACCCATCATCAGCATGGATGCATATCATAGAATCCTAGAATATCAGGGTTGGAAGGGACCTCAGGAGGTCATCTAGTCCAACCCCCTGCTCAAAGCAGGACCAATCCCCAACTAAATCATCCCAGCCAGGGCTTTGTCAAGCTTGACCTTAAAAACCTCTAAGGAATGAGATTCCACCTCCTCCCTAGGTAACCCGTTCTTGTGCTTCACCACCCTCCTAATGAAAAAGTTTTTCCTAATATCCAACCTAAACCTCCCCCACTGCAACTTGAGACCATTACTCCTTATTCTGTCATCTGGGACCACTGAGAACAGTCTAGATCCATCCTCTTTGGAACCCCCTTTCAGGTAGTTGAAAGCAGCTATCAAATCCCCCCTCATTCTTCTCTTCTGCAGACTAAACAATCCCAGTTCCCTCAGCCTCTCCTCATAAGTCATGTGCTCCAGCCCCCTAATAATTTTTGTTGCCCTCCATTGGACTCTTTCCAATTTTTCCACATCCTTCTTGTAGTGTTGTGACAGATTTCTGTTACCAGTCTGTCCGGGGCATCAGGTGATCAGGCTGAGGCCGCAGGATCTTTAGGGGAGGAGATGACGGAGCACACCAACGGTCTAAGTTTTAAAGCTTTATTAATAAAATAATAAAACAACAGCGGTGAGTGTTGGGACTGCTCCCACGTCACTCAAAGGAAGGAAGAAAGCGTTAGTAGCTCAGCCCTAACCCACTTTCATACTCACACACACATGACCCAAGGCTGGCCAAGCCTAGGTGTAACATAAGAAGAAGAGGGGGAGGGGTGGACGGGAGTTCTTGTACTGTGCACGGGTCGTCCAGGGTCCGCTGTGATCTCTGACTTGCTTTGGCTCTCGGGAGGGTTTTTAAGTCCTGGGTTCTTTTGGGGGTGTTTTCGTTTTAGAGCCCTCTGTTCCTGGTGCTCTTTGTACCAGTCCAAACCGGCTCGCTGTGGCCTCCTCGGCTTCTCAAAACACACCGGCTCCAGAGACTTTGTTTTCCCCCCGTTGGCCTTTGCCATCTCATTCGCTCTCACTGTTCTCACTTCTGTCTCTGCAGCCCTGCTCAACTTAGTTCTCTTCTCACAGCTGGGCAGCTGCAGATTTCTCGTCGAGCCCATGACCTTGGATCGGGGCCAGCGTCTTATCTTCACACGGAGCTAGCTAAAGTGTCGAGTTAACCCGTTCTCTGCCCTCTTCCTCCTTCCCCCTCTTGGCCTCTTGCAACCTGCAAAGGAATCTTCCATTTCACACTCACACCTTTGACCCTCCCCCGAAATGCCTTGCGATGCTTGCAACCACGTTAGCAACATTCAATGCTGATTTGCCTCCCCATGGGACCCCGAGGGAGGGAGTCCTTGGGCCTGTGACAGCGTGGGGCCCAAAACCAGACACAGTACTCCAGATAAGGCATCACCAATGTCGAATAGAGGGGAATGATCACATCCCTCGATCTGCTGGCAATGCCCCTACTTATACAGCCCAAAATGTGGTTAGCCTTCTTGGCAACAAGGGCACACTGTCGACGCATATCCAGCTTCTCGTCCACTGTAACCCCTAGGTCCTTTTCTGCAGAACTGCTGCCAAGCCATTCGGTCCCTAGTCTGTAACAGTGCATGGGATTCTTCTGTCCTAAGCGCAGGACTCTGCACTTGTCCTTGTTGAACCTCATCAGATTTCTTTTGGCCCAATCCTCTAATTTGTCTAGATCCCTCTGTATCCTATCCCTACCCTCCAGCATATCTACCACTCCTCCCAGTTTAGTGTCATCTGCAAACTTGCTGAGGGTGCAATCCACGCCATCCTCAAGATCATTAATGAAGATATTGAACAAAAGCGGCCCCAGGACCGACCCTTGGGGCACTCCGCTTGATACCGGCTGCCAACTAGACATGGAGCCATTGATCACTACCTGTTGAGCCCAACGGTCTAGCCAGCTTTCTATCCATCTTATAGTCCATCCAGCTCATACTTCTTTAACTTGCCATCAAGAATACTGTGGGAAACCGTATCAAAAGCTTTGCTAAAGTCAAGGAATAACACGTCCACTGCTTTCCCCTCATCCGCAGAGCCAGTTATCTCGTCACAGAAGGCAATTAGGTTAGTCAGGCATGACTTTCCCTTGGTGAATCCATGCTGACTGTTCCTGATCACTTTCCTCTCCTCCAAGTGCATCAGAATTGATTCCTTGAGGACCTGCTCCATGATTTTTCCAGGGACTGAGGTGAGGCTGACTGGCCTGTAGTTACCCGGATCCTCCTCCTTCACTTTTTAAAGATGGGCACTACATTAGCCATTTTCCAGTCATCTGGGACCTCTCTCGATCGCCATGAGTTTTCAAAGATAATGGCCAATGGCTCTGCAATCACATCTGCCAACTCGTTTAGCACCCTTGGATGCAGTGCATCCGGCCCCATGGACTTGTGCTCGTCCAGCTTTTCTAAATAGTCCTGAACCACTTCTTTCTCCACAGAGGGCTGGTCCCCTCCTCCCCATGCTGTGCTGCCCAGTGCAGTAGTCTGGGAGCTGACCTTGTTCATGAAGACAAAGACCAAAAAAAGGCATTGAGTACATTAGCTTTTTCCACATCCTCTGTCACTAGGTTGCCTCCCTCATTCAGTAAGGGGCCCACACTTTCCTTGACCACCTTCTTGTTGCTAACATATCTGAAGAAACCCTTCTTGTTACTCTTAACATCTCTTGCTAGCTGCAACTCCAAGTTTGATTTGGCCTTCCTGATTTCACTCCTGCACGCCTGAGCAATATTTTTATACTCCTCCCTGGTCATTTGTCCAATCTTCCACTTCTTGTAAGCTTCTTTTTTGTGTTTAAGATCAGCAAGGATTTCACTGTTAAGCCAAGCTGGTTGCCTGCCATATTTACTATTCTTTCTAAACATCGGGATGGTTTGTTCCTGCAACCTCAGTAAGGATTCTTTAAAATACAGCCAGCTCTCCTGGACTCCTTCCCCCCTCATGTTATTCTCCCAGGGATCCTGCTCATCAGTTCCCTGAGGGAGTCAAAGTCTGCTTTTCTGAAGTCCAGGGTCCGTATTCTGCTGCTTTCCTTTCTTCCTTGTGTCAGGATCCTGAACTTGACCATCTCATGGTCACTGCCTCCCAGGTTCCCATCCACTTTTGCTTCCCTCTGGAATGGTGGTTAAAGCATGAAGGGACATATGAATCTTTATCGCATCTGGCACATAAATATCTTGCAACACCAGTTACAACAGTGCCATGCGAATGCCTGTTCTCACTTTCAGGTGACATTGTCTCCTGCAAATGTAACCTTAGAAAGGAAGAATCCCATGCACCACTACAGGCTGGGGAATGACTGGCTAAGCAGCAGTTCTGCAGAAAAGGACCTGGGAATTACAGTGGACGAGAAGCTGGATACGAGTAAGCAGTGTGCCCTTGTTGCCAAGAAGGCCAACGGCATATTGGGCTGTATTAGTAGGAGCATTGCCAGCAGATCGAGGGAAGTGATTATTCCCCTCTATTCAGCACTGGTGAGGCACATCTGGAGTATTGTGTCCAGTTTTGGTCCCCCCACTACTGAAGGGACCAAACTGGAGAGAGTCCAGCGGAGGGCAGCGAAAATGATTAGGGGGCTGGGGCACATGACTTATGAGGAGAGGCTGAGGGAACTGGGGTTATTTAGTCTGCAGAAGAGAAGAGTGAAGGGCGATTTGATAGCAGCCTTCAACTACCTGAAGGGGGGTTCCAAAGAGGATGGAGCTAGGCTGTTCTCAGTGGTGGCAGATGACAGAACAAGAAGCAATGGTCTCAAGTTGCACTGAGGGAGGTCTAGGTCTAGGTTGGATATTAGGAAACTATTTCACTAGGAGGGAGGTGAAGCACTGGAATGGGTTACCTAGGGAGGTGGTGGAATCTCCATCCTTAGAGGTTTTTAAGGCCTGGCTTGACAAAGCTCTGGCTGGGATGATTTAGTTAGTTTTGGTCCTGCTTTGAGCAGGGGATTTAACTAGATGACCTCCTGACGTCTCTTACAACCCTAATATTCTATGATTCTAATCAAACTTGTTTGTCTGAGCGATTGGCTTAAGTCTGACTGAGTGGACTTGTAGGCTCTAAAGTTTTACATTGTTTTAGTTTTGAATGCTGTTATTTTT